CTAACGGGAGCATCGGGTTCTCTGTCCGGCCTGCTAACATTAGCTCCTCGCAACGACTTTGGCGTGTGCGCCCTGCGCGGGAAATTTTGTTTTTATGGTATATTCTCTTTAATACCCATCAGAAAGCATTTAATGTAAACCAATATAGCTATGAGTGTCGGATCGACACGTTCTTACTGGAGAAAGATGACCGATCGTCGACTGAACCGTGCTTCTTAGTCGTGATCGTGAGGTGGTATGCTAGCGTGTGCTAGCCAGCAGCACTAGTGTCTCGCGAGTACGCAGAAAAATCAACGTGACTAGGCCAACGTTAGCGTATCTTCAACCTTTGGCATTTGATTCTGTTTTTCCCCCGAGCGATCAAACAGTTTACTTTACTTATTTGAGATATATGGTGCGTAGATGAGAAACGAACCGGGTTATCTCAAACGTTGGTAGACCACGGGCTTGCTATTTATGCAGATGTTAAAATCAACATAACACGATGTGACGTGCCTTCCCCATGGAGCTAGCTTTCCAAGTTAGCATACAACCCACGGCGTGCTTTCATGGCCGTTTCTGCAGTAGTGAAAGACGTGTAGCAATAAGCTATTTTGGACTAAATTATCCAAGATAGACTAAACTCAGCTGTCAGTACTTCAGTGGAAACGAGCGCTCATGGAGCGCCTGGGAAAAAACATTAAGTTATTTCACTACGGTAACTATTTAGTGAAGCAATATTATGTAAGATAACGTAGAAGTTGAGGCCCAAATGGCATTTGGATGACCATAACAAGAAAGAGAAGCAACAATTTGGCCGTAAATATCTTCAATTTAAATCCATGTGCGTCGTTTATTTTTCCAGCTCGACTTTTGGGTACTACTTGCAAAGAGCTTGATTACTCATTAACTCACATTCTCCCTGACTTGATGTCTTTAGCATCGTCAGCAAACAGAAGGGTGGCCTATGGCGATCACACATCGTGTAAGTTAGCTAAGTAGGTAGTTGTAGTCTGGTGGCCAATTATGATAGAGCTGGAAAATGACCCCATTGTTTGATAGTAGATTAGATCCCCTGGTAGTCATTATGCTAGACTGACTCTTGCAGCAGTGGTGTGTGAGTTGTCTACTGTTATTTTACTCGCACTCAGAATTGCTAGTTATTGTAATGTCATACAAAGTTTTCTAAAATGGTATTCTCATGGTATTAATTTGATTGATTTGAGAGATTTTGACTTTGAGTTGCTTTTGACAATTATGTACAAACATGGTTTATTATGTCCATGATCAGGTCATTTTTGATGACAGCTTGACCCTGGCCTTTGCAAAAACATCAGATCAAAATTTATTAACAGGCACCATATTTGACAAATAGCGTAATATATGTGTGGTAGTGCAAAAAGCCAAAGCGCATTAAGCCAGCAAGTGTTTGTAAGCAGTCTAAATAGTTAGCTACAGGAGGCAAGAGTAATAATGTAATGCTTTTAGGTTTTAACATCATACTAAGCAGCTTACATGTTCCGCGAGAGGTCGCTTTCAAGGCCTCATTTGAGACAGAATGTAGAAAATGAAATGTGTATAAACTAGCTTCCGTATCATCTCAATAATTGCTATTGACTGACATAACTAAAATTGTAGCAGTCAAATTTGCCACCAATAAAATGCCATGTTCAGAATGTCGCTGAGTGCGTCATAGAAGTTGGCCTATTAGTGTCAAAAGTTGAATTTGCTCAGCACAAAACCTAGTTGAAAATCAAGATGGTGCATGCCAACATAATATCCACACTCTTCATTAAAAACAATTGTCTTCTTTTGTGTGTTTTTTGTGAAAGTCCGGCAAGATGGATGGGTGAAAGACACAGCTAATGTGAGCCAAGTGTAGACGGTGTGCAAGTTCAGTAGTGCACGTAAAGATTTTATATTGAAACGAATTGTGTTTACTGATATGGTGTTGTGTTTGTGTTTTTTTTTTTTTTTTTTAAACCTAGGTAATGGACTCGAGCAGCAACAGTGAGTGCTTTGGATGTGGCCGCTCCGGGCATTGGGTCAAGAATTGTCCTAATGCCAGCGGGACACGTGGACGCGGCAGGGGTCGGGGACGAGGCAAGGGTACTATATAATATTCAGGCCACACCCAGTATAGGATAATTATTACAGTAACCTCAGTCACATGTTTATTGGTTTATTTTTTCTTTTACTGCACTTTACATATGGTATTCACATGTGGCTGTACTGTGGGGTTTGGAACATTTCATTTGAGGAGAAACACTTAGTTGAGGCTGTCAGTTTAAAGCTTTATAGTCTTTTCATTTTTGCGTACTAATCTGTCTGTCATTACAGAACTGTTCTGTTATCGTTGTGGAGACCAAGGACACATGGCCAGGGATTGTGACCAAACTGAGGATGGTGTGCATTGCAGTTCTATTTCTTCTATTTCAGTTCTAGTTAGTTGGTGTGAAGTGGGTATTTTCTTACAGCACAATTACAGAATTACATACATTTTGATTTCCCTGGTACACATAACAGTATAAGATTTAACATTTATTTGTAACTTGTCTTGACAGTTCACAGTGATACATTTTTAACAAACTGTTTCTTTTGATATTTTTTGGGCTGTTCAGCGTGCTACAACTGCCACAGGAGTGGCCACATTTCCCGGGACTGCAAGGAGCCCAAAAAGGAGAGAGAGCAGCTGTGCTACACCTGTGGCAAAGCTGGCCACATGGCCCGTGACTGTGATCACGCCAATGAGCAGAAGTGCTACTCCTGCGGTGGGTTTGGTCACATCCAGAAGCTTTGTGATAAGGTGAAATGTTACAGGTGAGTGTTACCTTTTAGAAAGTTTTGGAAATTATGCCTCCTCCTTTTTTTTTTTTTTTTTTTTTTTTTTAAAGTTATTTATTGTTTCTCACTCCCACCATGTCTCCCCTAGGTGTGGCGACATTGGTCACGTTGCTGTGCGTTGCAGTAAAGCCAGCGAGACTAACTGCTACAACTGTGGAAAGGCAGGCCACCTGGCAAAAGACTGCACCATTGAAGGCACCGCATAATCGGTGCCCTCTGTTGCCCCTCCTTTTTTCAGATTGATGGTTGGTTGTATTATTTTCTCTGAATCCTCTTCACTGGCCAAAGGTTGGCTAACAGAGGCTAGTCCCAGGCCAGTGAGCCTCTCGACATGTAATACTATGAAAGGGGTGAAAAAAAATCTTTCTGCATTCAATACAAAAATGTTTTAGTTTGGTAGCGGTGTTATGTATAATGCTTTGTTAAAGAACCCCCTTTCCAAGCCACTGGTGATCAGAGATGAATAAATGGGACGAAACGTGTGGGAATCTATAGGACCTCTGAGCTTGTGGAAGTGAGCCTCAGTAAAATGAGATAGAAGAAGGGAGTAAATGGAAACCGAACTTCCATGTATGGTTATTTTGGTTTGTTTTAGTGGGATACGAGTTGGCCAAGAGAGTATGACATGGAAACCGTTCATAACATGATGCATTTCAGCCCTACAAGCAGCTAAGTGGGCGATAACAAACTACATGTTATTATTGCTAAGATATTAAAAAAAAAATTGGAGGTATTAAAAGAAAAAAATGTTCTTTTATAGAAATCTGTTTACAATTTAAATATCACTTGGTAGTCCAAGGTAGACTTTTCCTTTAAAATGGCTTTGGAATTTTTCTTTTTTTTTTTTTTTTTACCTTGGCAAAATTTAACATCAAGAACAGTTGTCAGAACAGCAGAATTAGGAGTTATTTGGGAATGAAAAATGTTTTCACAGAAATCAAAATGTTATTTTTGTACAATATCACTTAGACTACTGTATAAATACCATTTGCTTGTACTCAGTTTTTAAGTCGGAAGGAAAGTGCAACTGAAGTCCTAGAAAATAGAAATGTAATTTTAAACTATCAATAAAGCTGGAGGAGCACGGGGAGGACTTCTTGTCTGATTTTAGTGGCTTCGTACATACCTAACTTTAAACGCTTGTTTCAAGATGGAAACCCCCTTTTTTTTTTTAGATGTTTATCCCTTCTCAAGTAATCTGCCAGTCTTGTAAAAGAAGTTAAACTGATAAAGCTGATCTGCTTAACTCATGAGTTGATCATTTACATCTTCAAAGAAGCTCAAATACAACATTATTTGCTGGGTAAACACTCAGACCTAATATGTAGGTTAACGGTACACAAAGCAGACCATTGTTTATGCCGCAAACATTTTCTCCTCTTACCTCATTAACTGCACCTTGACAAAACATAATGCAGCATATTCGACCACATTTCGCCTGAACTATGTGCTTCCATCATGTTCGTGCAACCTCTTTTTCTTTGTGGGGGTGGGGAGCTTTCGCCTACAGAGTATGTTGGGTAAAAATGGAAAGGGGATTCTGCTGTCTCTAGCAACGGGTCAGATTTCTCTATCAAATTCCTTTTGGTTCCTTGTTGCAAAGTTAGGTACCCTGAAGCACATCTAGGAAAATGAGTGCAGACTGCTGCATGTGACGCCGGTGGGTCAACCCAATAAGGTTTATGTTTATGAAGGCGAGGAGCTAAAATGGAGAATTAAATCTTACGGTCCATCAGTATCCATGTTGTGCTTTGTGCTGCAAATAAATGACCCACCGTGTAATATAAGTATATTTATATAAAATTGCGATGATCACAAACTCTATAGCTGTAATGGTGAGCAATGAGCTTGTGCGTTTTGCTGCAGCGCTGTCCCGTGTTTCATGGAAGGCGCTTGTGCGTGGAAGAAATGGTAAACTCCACCTCGGTGTCTAAAATGGCAGCGGGAGTTGCAGTGCAGATGCTGCTCCACAGCTCCTTCCGGCCAGAGATGCAGCAAGAGACCCGCCTCCTCCTCATATGTCGTCATCGAGTGTCGCCCAGTCAAATTATAGGCGAGGAAATATCAGGGGGGAAAAAAAACAAAACGACCGGCCGGAGCGAGCCGGCTCGTGCTTTAGTGCGGGGTTTGCCTTGACTATTTTTCTTCTCGTTTTAACCCTGTGATAAGTAAAGGAGATGAGGGGACTCCTGTCGTTTTACCGGGGCCTGCACACCCTGAGTAACCGTCAAGCCAGACGAAAAGCTGGGATTGTCGGTTCTCGGTGCGGGTTTTGCGGAACTCAGTCTAATAGCAAGGTACGGTTCGAGCTGTTGCTGCGCCTTGGGTCAGGCAAACAATGCGTTGTTGGTCATAGGCAATATTTTGTGACTGGTCCAGATTTTTTTTCCTTCTTAACAATGTATCACATCGACGTTGCATACAGTGTTGCATGCAACTTTGTCAGATGTGGATGCGCAGGCATGGATGAAACAACAGGGGATCTGACATCAGGGATAACAGCAGATGTAGCTTACTGTTTATTTTCCTCCCCCCATGAGAAAAACAATCGCTGATACTCTTCCTAGATTGTTTTTCCGGCCCAAGTAACAGAAAAAAACACTGGAAAAGCACAAAATGACCTTTTATATGCTTAGATAGCTGTAGGATAATTTGTAATATGCTAAAAATATAACGAAATACCCCCATGTACTGCTGTGTCACCATATATTTCCAACTATGGATTCACAGTGGCTGACATATGTTAAAAAAAAGAGTAGAAGGCCCTTATTCTGTCATACTGTAGAGTCAGGAAATCACAACTGTGTTATTATACATCATCATGTGTGGAAACAATATTCACAGACATTATACTAAAAAGTCATTTCAAGTTAATATGGCAAATTGTAATTCCACTTCTGTAGAAATTAAGCCTTTGAATATGCGTTGGCTCATGTTTCATTATCAGCCACATCAAAGTCCAGTAGGTATTTATTTAATCACCATTTCACCTCAGTTTTGATCATTTTAACCAGGCATGTCACATATTAGCCACTCTCTTTTATCCACGCTGTGTTTTTAGTTTTCTACTTTAAAAAAGAAAACAACAACCTCCACTTCTTGCCCACAGTTTTAGCTGATTAACCTGCGTTTGTCCTTCCCTTCAACAGCCACAGCCGAGCTTTGGGCTGCTGTTGGACATTGATGGCGTGCTTGTCCGGGGAAGGATGCCAATCCCTGCTGCAAAGAAGGCGTTTGAGAAGTTGGTCGACTCTCAGGGACAATTTGTGGTTCCAGTGGTTTTTGTCACAAATGCAGGGAATTGCCTCCGACAAACAAAAGCAGACCAGCTCTCTCACATCCTGGGAGTACCTGTAAGTTGTTTCAAGATGTTGAAAAAATTGGCGTCATGACTATTCTTGATGGAATATAAAGTATTCAGACACAAAACATGTACTTTTTTTTTAAAATTCATCTGCTGTCCTGTCACCTCTGCTGTTAACCCCTTCTAACACTTGATTTCCAGATTACACAAGATCAAGTCATCATGTCCCATAGTCCCCTGAGGATGTTTAAGAAGTTTCATGACAAATGTGTGCTGGTGTCAGGACAGGGACCAGTCCTGGAGATTGCTAAAAAGTATCCTGGAAACTTGCTTTGTTATGTTTTCTGCTCATGATCCATTTAAATTAGGTTTGCATAACACTCTCCACTTGTCCTTAACACACCATCTTTAGTGTGGGCTTTACGAATGTTGTCAGTATTGATATGCTGAGGGAATCATTCCCATTGCTGGACATGGTGGATCACAACAGGAGACCCAAACTACCGGTGAGACATTGAATTCTGGTGCAGAGATTAGGTGTCAGTTACAGAAACATCAAACTGTTCTTTAGTCTTATATAACAGCACACATTTAGTTTCTCTTATTTCATTTCAGTCCAACCCTCTTGGCAAGCTTCCTAAGGTTGAAGGTAAGAACATGTACCTCTTATTTCATCTCCAAAGTTTATCAGCTGTAGACTAATAGTTACTCACTGGCATCTGCAGATTTTTGATATCACGTAGATTTCATGTTAATCTCCTAATTCCACACACAGCTGTAATTCTGTTCGGGGAGCCAATTCGATGGGAGACCAACCTGCAGCTAATAACTGACGTTTTGTTGACCAACGGTAACCTCAGCAGTGCTCACCAAACCCAAAACACACCTCACCTCCCCCTGCTGGCCTGCAACATGGACCTCATGTGGATGGCTGAGGCACATTCCCCGCGGTAAAGTTCTAAAATCATTGGCAACTGAAGCACAGTCTTAAGAAACTGCCAAATGTAAATGTGTCCCTTTGTATTCCACTGTTTTATTTTGTCTCAGGTTTGGGCACGGGACATTTCTTGTGTGCCTAGAGAACATCTATAAGAAGATAACCGGCAAAGATCTGAAATATGATGCTCTCATGGGAAAACCCAGTGAGCTGACCTACCATTTTGCGGAGTACCTTATCAGAAGCCAGGCCACGGAAAGGCAATGGAATCTTCCCATCACTTCCCTTTATGCTATAGGGTGAGACATCAAGTTTATTGCAAATGTAGTGGACTAAACTAAGGAAGTGGTGAGACTTACATTTTTGAGACAGTCTGATGACAATATAGATGCAAGTAATGAAAAGAGCCATAGAGCAGGAACATCTACTGCATACTAAAACTGAGTTAACCCGGCCTGGCTTTTATTTGCCACTTAAGGAAAGTGCATGACTCACATTTCAAGTCGACTGAGGCTATGCTCAATAATCTGGTAAGAAACATCATATGAAAATACAGGACTCACCCTCACTCAGAACTGCCTGCAACTGCGTTAGTGAACATATCACACCTTCCCACCTCAGCTTTTTTGTCACGATTGTTGCCGTTGCTTGTGAGACAGCACTATGCGATTGCTTAAATTGCTCCTTAGTTGGTGGATACAGGAATGGAGTAGCAGAAAATAAACACATTCTTGCTCATCAGTATCTAGGCTAGCTTTGTGCCCACTGCCCGAGCCACTGAGTAATCACTTCCCCTTCTCTGCTCTTAGGGATAACCTTATGACGGACATCTACGGTGCCAATCTATACAACTGTTACCTGAAGGAGAGAGTTGCGAGAAAGAACCCCAAAGCTGTTGCTAAGATGGTGGCCGCCACGGGGTCCACCACTGCGTTGCCCCAGGAGGACGAGATCGACAACCTGTGGGAGAGCGAGCTGGCGCTGCCCTCTGCCACTTCCTGTAAGTCCGTCCTTGTCTGCACAGGTGTCTACAACCCTAATGCAGAGGTGCCATCTGATGCAAATCACTGCATCAAAGAGACTGTGTTCCACGGGCACCGGGACTTCAGATTCGACCCTGCGCTGGTGGAGCCGGGCCACATTGTACAGGATGTGGCAGAAGCTGTTGACCTCATCTTTGAGCAGGAGAAGTTTGTGCCCTAGTAGAGCTTTGAGCCAACAGGTTTTGTGTGACCACGGAGGTCGTAGTTGTTGGGTGGGGGTAGGGTTTGGGGAGCATTTAACTGGGTATACCACTTAATGCATAAACCTGTATGAGCCTAACACTGTGGACATTGTTTAACCACCTGACAGGGCATTGACAAAGTAAGGGTCATCTTCTAAACTTTTAACGTTGAGACAAACTTTAGAGAAAAAAAATCTATTTTTTGTTGCTGTTTTTGTTGTTGTTGTTTTTGTGGTAGTCTTTAATTACCTGTTCTTGAACTGCCTTATTTGACCCTACTAAGTATTTTTTTAGATGACAGTAATGTTTTAGATAATTACAAATCCTGAAACCATCCTATATTTATTACAAGAATTTATCAGTGTTTCTAAGAAGCCTATCCATATAACATTTGACCTTTATTCTCAAGATGACTTTTTATTATTTGCATTTTTAGCCATTTGTTTACCAATTTATCTTGGACAATCTATGCATGAATATGTGAGTAATGCTTGTGCTGTAAAAACAACTGTTTGATGTGCAATATTGTCCTGTAATAGTATTGTCCGTCTGCATTTTTGGCTAGTTGTGAGAGCCTTGACCATTATTTGCACAGATCATCTTTGTTAAATATTACCATATCTTCACGCCATAATCTGTTTGCTATGATGTACAAATTCATTTTTATGCTTTAAATTTTTAATTCCAGAAGCAAAAGCTAACTAGACATTAATTTAGCTGCAAGTACAATGTCAATCAAAAGCTTTTACCGCCCCAAATTTGACCATTTGTCGTAATTCACTCATTGTAAATAGTATTGTAACTTAAGACAATATAAGGAATAGTTACACACGTTTGCAAACTGTCTGTGTGATTTTTCAACCAATAACATTCCACCTGTAACACACAGCATAGTGTAGATCTTTCTTATTAAGTTATGTCTATCTGCTTTTAAACATAAATCCTCAACCAGCTCAGTCATAAGAGTCCACTACAATTACAAGCCAAAATAGTTTTAAATACTCAATATTACATGTTCTGTTAAATTACCTATAATGAGCACATGTATTGAGCTTTATCCAAAAAATGCTGAAATAGTGTATGTTAAGATTTGCAGCGTACAGCAAAAGACACCTTTCAATTGGATCATATATTTATCTTACATGCCTAAATGAGGCACATTTACCTGAATAAAATCAGGTTACATTGTTACAGTTACCCAGACGTCCTCTCTGTAGTGGTTTAGCATAAAAACGACTTTAGGACAAAAATATCCCATTAAGAAATCTGTCATGCTGCCTTGCCTCAACTCAATTTGTCACTTGTAGTGTTTTTGTAATTTCACTTACAGAGGTCCCTCAGGTAGCCTTTATCTTTATATTGTGCTTCCTGTGCAACACATCCAGTACTTGTGGCAGTAGCTCCATGTTGATAAGTGGCTTTTCTAGATCCTCCGTACAAGTGAGAGAATCAGAGTCAGGGCTCACATCTGACAGCGCAATGTCCAGTCTCCTCCTGTGCTTAGGCTTCAGGGAGCGCAAAGAGTCTGCCTCAAAGCCTGAATGTCTCTCAAGTATGTACAGAGTGAAGGTGGATATTTTGGCTAGTCTCAAGCTCCACAGAAGCAGAACAATTAGGCAGCATAGCACCACCCCCACCACAATGTTGTAAGTCCCATCAGTACAGCTTGCTGGCGTACAGGAAGAAAAGTAGTCATCACTGAGATCCGAGATGGCTTTCTGAGCCACAGAGCTTGGACTGGCACAGGTGGGTTCCTTTGAGACAATAGCCCTGTTCTTCAGCAGCCAGTTCCTCAGGTATCGGATCCTACAGTCACAGTGGAAGGGGTTCCCAGATAGTGAGACCTTTTTCAGATCCACCAATCTGTCAAACAGGCCAGGATACACTGAGGTGAGCTGGTTGTCCTGCAGATGGAGCTCTGTGGTGTCTGAGGGTAGATGAGGCAGCTCAATGAGGTTTATAGTGCTGCAGTTGACCCTCAAACCAGCAGGCAGGAGGGCTGATAACAGGCAGGGTTGGCCAGTAATGCGGGCACTTGATGTGGCCAAGAAAAGGAAGACAGCTAAGCTTAAACCAGAGAACATCCTGCAGGATCAGGAGAAGGTTATTCCCTATTTGCACTGTAATTTCCAGTTTGCATAATGATAGGAACAGTGAGGATGCTTTAGATGATGCTAACAGTGCAGCAAGTTGTTATATTGGAGTGCTCTAAAACCATGCATCGTCCTTAAAGCTGTGTATTAGGACAAGATTTGTTTATGCCAAAAGTGAATACACCAATGAAGTGAATTAAATGTCCCTGTGCATCCTTAAGCTGTAATAAAGAAAAGTATTCAGATATAACCAAATGACAAAGTGAATGTACCCCCCCCCCCCCCCATTTTTTTAATTAAAAAGGAATACAGACCTTTTAGAGTCAAACCAACTTGGAAGTTGCTTTTTGTGGTGCCAGTCATCCTTAAAATCTCATTATATAGTCATACAGTCTAAGCTTAGGAGTATTTCCAAATTGCTCCTGGACTCAAGGTCTATCTTTTTTGTAACTGACATGTTATTAAACGCAGAATAATCGCACACCCAATACAGATCGACGTCAGTATGAGGAACGCACCAATGACTGCTCAGTTATGGTGCGTTTGACATGAAGGAAATTCATCTGCTTAATAGAGATAAGACTTATCTGTTAGAAACAGTGGTGGATGCCATCTGAAGCTCTCCCACACTGTGTTTACTGCAGACATCCACTGCGGTGCTCAGGGCACAGGGCGCACTTTACTGCAGAATACCGCTGGGAGTATGTACAGCTTTATGTGGATATTGAATTTACCCATGAGATATTTTGAAAGACAAATACTGGATGAGCTTGAGGTCAAAGAGAACATGTTTCTTAATGGAAATTCTGAGCTGCAAAGCAGAATGGACATATTGTAGCTGAATAGCAAAGCACTGGTTGATCCTATGAAGGGTGATGTAGCAGGTACACCTTTCACCCATAGGTGGTGTAATAGCACAGATTTTCAATGTCATTTTTATGGCACTTTAATTTTTTGCCCTCTAGTGGAAATACTGCAACACTAGTGGATAGTATTGTTGGAGCCTGGAAGTGGAAGATATGAGAGCCTAAAGATAAGGCACTAATGTGAAATGCATTATGGGGGGGGGGGGAAGTTTCATTTCTGTTTGATTCACATGGACAGCTGACTCAGTGCTCAATAGGACAAAGCACTTTGTACACACTGGAGAGGGAAAAACAACACATGCGTACCATAAGTCATATATTCGTTTATTTTGCGTTCTCAACATTGTCACAGTTGAAGTTTTACAATAACTGGGGTCTTACTGACTCACTACTCACTGTACAAACAGAATGCACATATAAATGAGGCCATTCATGTGTTTTCCTTTTTTTCAAAAACGTGTCTCACTCCAGACTGAACAGCTTGCAGCAGGATGTTTGTGTGTACAGTATTTATGTGTGTGTGTGTGTGTGTGGTGGGGGGTGGAGGGTTTTGTGTGCAAAAAGAGGATGGAGGCTGGATGTAAATGGCAGCAAACTTTCTAACAGTCTGTTTTTGAAGTCCACAGCAAATGTGAGTTCACAACAGGAGGCAGAGACAGTCGATATGTTCATATATCACCCCTCTAATCCATCTATGAGGTGATGTATATACATCCTGATCTTAAATGCAGATATCAGAATAGAGTACTGATCATATACACATTATGTACAGCTCCTTTAACCTCCGTCTTGGTCCCTTTACAGCTTCATAAAGATAAGCCCTCCTTCCAAGCAGTTCATCAGTTTGCACACCAAAATCCCATATTTACATGACGAGAGCCCTCAGCAACGGAAGTGCAATGATCTTTATGTTTGTAATTTACACAATGGCTTTGTTGATGAAATGCATGCTGAACTTCAATAACTACTAACCTAATGTGGAACGACAAGAACACATCAACATCAGGAAATTCCAAACAAATCTAAACCAAAAGAGAAGACAAAATTTATAGGCTGAATGTTTTTTCCCCATCAGCTCACAGTGAATAGGACACATGATGATCCATGCAGTGCATCGTTGGGGTACTTTCTCACATAGAATGACTGTAAGACATTTGAAGCACTACAACACACACCAAAATAAACAGGTTCAGACAAAACTATGAAATCAATGGAAAGACATTCAACTGATCATTAAAGTCCCATATGTGATATGTCTGTCATCCGAACTTTCTTCTTCATGAGATACGTGCGAGAGTAAGCCTGACTTATGGCAATGGTTTTCTTTGTGAATGTTAAAATACATTTACAACCTGAATATTGGAACAAACAGTTTACTGTCACTAATTTACACACTAGAATAGACTCTTATTTGTAGAATGTAGAAAGTTATTCTTTACATATACCCAGTTCCTTTGTTCAGTTTGCATTTTGTATATTATAATTGCATTTCCTGAAAAAATGAAAGTGTTCTTTCATATGTGCTTATCCAGCAAAATATTTCTGTTCAGCCCAAAGAGAAGCATATTCCTTTTATTAAAATATATACACACATTCCTCTTTCCACCGTGAACTGTGTAAGTAAGCATTTATATATTCTTAAATGAAAAAAGTTTTTTTTTGTCACCTGAATCTCGTCCTGGACAACAGACTTCCACTTTCAGTACAAGTCTGCATTTTCTGAACATGATTGCACTTAAACTTGCTATGGTAACACTGATTTTGTTATACAATGTGCAGAGGATAGCCTCACATTAATAACATTACATGCAAAAATCACTTACTAGACATTCCACTGAACTCCAAGTCTGTACCTCTCATTAGACCACGAGGACAGCCACACATTAATTTACTGAGAAAGACTCTTGACAGGGGTCAAAAACAAAAATAAATAAATAATGACGCAACATGAAAAACGCACAAATTGGAGGGATAACCTTGTTCTTCATGTACAAAATCAGTACAAAGGTATTGCACATATGATAGAAAAAAGATGAAAAAAATACTTTACTATGTAAGAAGCGATTTTATTCACTCACCACACCTTGTTGGTGAATTAAAAAAAAACAAACATACTAAACAAGGTAAAAGAAGGTTTCAAAAGTGTTTCCGTTTTTGATTTTAAGAGTCAAGGGAGCAGCTGTCGCATATTTTAAAGGCAACAGACTTCGCATGTTCAACGCGTTCTGCGGGTCCGTATGTAACATGAACTGAGCCTCCCACATTTAAAATGTCTTTTACAGTTTAAGCAGCCACAGTATGAGTAGTAAACTGAGATTAAAACAACCAACCAGCCCGGTTTATCATTTGTCAGAGTTGACAGGAAAAGTCTGCTTTGAGGCTTCAGCTGTGACAGCACAGCGTTTTGAGGCCCATATGCAACAGCTGCCGTCCAGAGGCTCCTTCTGATCCATTTGAAAGGCAAAAATTCCAGAATAGATTATAGGCCTGGACTGAATGGGAGTTCACTCCTTTCTAATATACATCCTGTTACCACAGAGTCAGTATAATACTGATAGAATTCATTTTTGCTGATAATAATAATTGTAAGTATAATCTTACAAATAACTTTACGCACAATATACTGTACATGAAGTCTTGACTAAATAGATTATGCATTAATAATTGGCACATTTATTTATGAGAGCTAGGAGACAACACATATAGCTGTCATCTACAGTAAATACAGCACTAGAACTACAATGACTGAGAAGGTCAACTCAGCTGTTTACCTGTCCTTTGATTTAAGTTAGTGTGAAATGATTATATCTAGGTTCTTCACTACATATGAGCTCTACGGGAGGCAACAACAAATTGCATTCATATGATGGTAGGATCTGCAAATCAAAAGAGCTGAAAGTTGACTTCTGAAAAGGCTGCGCACAAGAAATGATGCCACCGTTGTGACAGAGAATACAGTCAGCCACGTTCTTGTCTCAGGTCGTCTTGCCTCCTGATTATGTGAAGGTAAGACAGGCTATTGAGGGAATGAAGCAGTGGGGAGCGGCATGGTGAGAAAACACATTTTCTCTACAGCCGTCACGGCCCGGCGGTGTGTGTGTGTTAGTGAGTAAAACATAGAGCATCTTCCTGTACAGAGCCCCGCCCCCACCAACAAAACCCTGATGGGGCCAAGCCCATGATCAGGCAAACTAGTAAAAGGCCCCTGGTGGAAGATTTGAGTCTGATTTCCATCCTGCATATTAGTTGGACCTGGAGGTGAAAAGGGTGATTGCGTGTGACTGGTTTCCATCACAGCAGCAGTTAAACACAGTGGACAGGCCATAGAGTTATGCTGTCAGTCCCTTTGGTGTAAGCAATTGTCCCTCGTTCAGTAAGTTCCCTGCATGCCTCTCCTCTCTGTGTTAGGAGCATCACACTACGGTGCTGATGCCACTGTGTTTGGGTTTGGGTCCGCCAGGCGCCGAACCCGCTTGCTGACTGTGGTGGTGAGGAGCATGTTGGGAGTGTGAGGCGTGATGGGAATGCTGGCTGTAATGGCTGTGCTGCGAATGGGCATGTTGGTGGGCATGTGAGGCGTAGCCTGGGTGCTGGTGGTACTGCGTGTGGGGAGGGGGGTGGTAGTGGTGATGGTGGTGGTAAGGCGGAGGGTTCTGTGGGACTTTGCAGTACTGGGAATGGTGACCATGGAGCTGGGCTTGCACTGTGTGCGCTACCTGTGCTGTGTGGTGCAGGTTGGTCGGGTGGGGCTTGTGGGATATGAGAGTGGGTTGACCAGGCGCAGGGAAAGGAGGGTGGCTCTGGGATGACGGTTTGCCTCGCTTGCTGCCAAAGAGCGACCCAAGGATGGAAGTCGATGCTGAGTTAGGGATGGAGGGATGGCCGCGGGGTGCACCCTCATGTGGCGTGGTGGCTCTCCGGCGTGTGTGTGGACTGCTAATGATGGACCCCTGCAGGCAGGAAAAAAAGGTAACAGCATGTCTGTCAGACACTGAGCAAGTGCTCCCGCGCAACATACTAAACTACAGCTACAAGGCACCAGCAGGATGAATTCACAGTTTTCTTATTTCAGATAAACAAGTAGCAAAATGTTATAGGGCATGCAAATGAGAAACTAAAAATGTTGTCATGGTAGGCAGCAGCAACACTAGGAATATTTCAGCTTCAAGATGAAGGGAGCCTACAATCAAAGGAGGTCTACTGTAAAGGAGCTAACTTGCTTGAAACAGTAAATCTGTAACAAGAGCAATTACATAAATACCATGGGGAGCATAAATAATGACATTGCCAGGGGAAGAAAAGACATCATTTCAGCTTCATTGCAGTCAGTGTGCCAAACCCTCTAAGTCACACATGCAACTTGTTATAATCAATGGAGGCATAGTTTCCACATGCAGAGGATGTGACAGGCAAACTCATCATCCACACATTAGCATTCAACTAGAAATCAGAAGGCAGGAGGAACTAAGCTTTTGTGTGCAGACTTCACAACAGGCCTGGACACTTTTCCACCCCTTTTCTGGGTCAAACACTGCTCACTATCCAGGTATGAATTCTCCTTGAAAAGTTTTTACTTTGGCACAT